GCGAGGGACTGACCCAGGACTGACCCGGGACTGACCAGGGACTGCGAGAGATTGACCCAGGACTGCAAAAGACTGCGAGGGACTGACCCAGGACTAACCCGGGACTGTGAGGGACTGACCCAGGACTGCGAGGGACTGACCCAGGACTAACCCGGGACTGTGAGGGACTGACCCAGGACTGTGAGGGACTGACCCAGGACTGACCCGGGACTGTGAGGGACTGACCCAGGATGTGCCTCCGTGTGCTGGCCAGTGTGAGAGCCCTTCACACGTTAACTGCCTCTTTGTTCCAGGGAACGTTTTCAATTTCCCTGTTTTGAGAGAGGATATAATAGGGGTGCTGTAGGACCGCGGGCTATGTCAGCTGGCATGAGTGTGGCACTGTGAGTGTTCAGGTTCGAGGCTTGACCTCTGAGAGAGCAGACTGGGCAGTCGTGGGATGAATGTAACATGTTAGGACCTTAAGAAAAGGTTACAAATGAGAGAAAACCATCTAGCTCATTTGGTAATAAATAGTTAATTGCTCTACATTCTTAAATGTACATCCAAACATTTTGTTTTTCTCATTAATTGCTTCCCTATATTTTGGAGAAAATGTATTTGCAGTGTCAGCATCAGCAACTAAGTATTTTCATATGTGGCCTCTTCTTGCTCAGCATTTCCCATTTTGTATTTATAATTTTTTACTAACAGTATGTAATATCCTGCACTTGTCTATATTACATAATTACATATCATATGCAAGGTGTTTGCTCAGTTGTAAATTTTATTTAAATCTTCTTAAATTTAATTTCCAGCTTCTGGTGTTTGCTAATCCTACTTATTTGGTATTATCTACAGACTTGACTAGTTTATTAACTAGATCAGAATCTAGATCACTGATAGATATGAAGAGCAGTGACCCTAGTTCAGACCCTTGCAGTACCCCTCTAATTACATCACCCCAGTTTAAGTGTTCACCCCTTATCTGTACCCAGTATCCTGATACAAAGTACCTGGAGATGTCGGGACTGAACCTGGGACCTCATACATGAAAAGCATGCACTGTGCCCTTGTGCCACATCCTCAAAATACCCGTACTCAGGTGTGAGGTTACCGGGGAGACAAGCATTTCTGCTCCTGTTCCCTTCATCTCCCCTCTGGAACCGTCAGGGGCTTCCTGCTCTGGGATCAGCAACTCCAGCCCCTGAGTGTCCCTCCCCTGAATCCCCAGGCTACAGCGCTGGCTACTGGCCACTCTCAGACTGTGCCTGCTGTTCATGGGCTCACTGGTTCACATTAAAGACCACTCTTTACCAGCATGCAAAGGGTGTACATTTTAAAAGACTTTGAAGTTCAATCTACCTGAAACTACACTCAGGTGACATATAGACAATTGCAGAATGTGACTAAACAAATAAAAAAAATACTAAACTGCATCTATGGAATTTAAAAATAAAAGAGTAACTATGTTTTACAAAGCATGACCTACAAAGTTAAGGATAGTGGCCAGACTGTATGCTGTAGACTGTTGCATTGCACATAGAAGCCAAAGCCTGCAGTCACTGCAAAGAACTCCTTTCCTTCTGTAGTGAATAAATTCCACCTTGCTGATGAAACCCAACAGCTATACTTTTTTAACACCTTTTGTTTTCAGTGGCAAATATCTTATTTTTACCTTCTAGCCTACGTACTGGATAATCAGTTTCTTCTCACTTAACACTTTTTAATAGAAATTTCACCTTGTTATAACCACTAACAGATGGCTATATTTTTTACATTAATCTGACAAATGCACGAGATGTCTTTCAAGCGCATCTTTCCCCACTAGAATATCCTGTTCCTTAGACGTCACATTTCTCTTCTTTCATTTTACCTTTTGCATTTCATTCCAAACACATTCTTTATCAGTCTGGCTTCCTTCAAGGGTGGCCATGGTGTCTGCCATTAGCGTGTGCAGCTGTGGCACAGAGATAAAAATTATCAGAGCACTATTCACACCTACTGCAATAACGGCTCTAAACACACAGATTTAAAAGCTAATTAAAAAATCATTTGTAGGATGATTTTATTACTCATTCTTCACACAATAAGGACGGTGGTCTTGCATATTTCTTCAAGGAAGCTAGATAGAATTTAAATACTTTGAAAGAGGAAAATTGTGTGAAGATTTCTTACCATTTATTCATCGTGATGTGAAGAAGGAAACCATCCATGTGTACATGTGGAAACTTTATACCAATACACCTACAGGCTTGTGTGATAAAAAAAAGCCAGTACATTCACGCATCACTGTTGTAGATGTTCAATTTTCAGAATCATATGTTGCACACAGATAGCTGGTCTACAATTCAGCTTCCAGTGAGGTTGGTTATGATTTTTCTTACTTCTTGAAAGAAAGGAGATAAATGTATGTTTAGGGGTTTCTCAGTAGAAACTGGTTGAATGAGGGAGACTTGCATAGCTCTAATGCATCCTGTGAAAGAAACAGAACTTGATATACTGTATATTGTATCAGGTGCAGTTACCTTGGAAGCACACTTATCCCTTTAAATATCCTCTCCTGAGCAGTTCTAGTGTTTCCTGTCAGTGAGTGCTAGGCAGAGCTGACCAGCTCAATAAATCAGTGTGGCAGCGGCTGATTATCACAGTGTGCTCGGCAAATGTAACACCCCTCACTGCACACCTGCACAGGGTCACTGGCTGAACTGTGAGTAGCAGCTGGCCCAAAGAGAGCCGTGGGTAAGGCGAGACAGATAGGCACAGTGGTCCCTTGCGCTAATAGCAGAGGGAGGGGGACAGTTGGTGAAAATGACTGTCTCCACATGGAGAAGCAAAGCCGGGGAACCTCTACAGCCTCATTCTAAGGGTCTTTTTCTTGACGTCACTCCTCTTTATGGAGCAGTCTTGGTAAGGGCTTAGGACTACAGCCTGTGTGTCCTGCACAAGAAGCCACTGGACATCTGTGGAAGTCCTTCATGTCTGACACATCAGCTGGCTGGAAAATGCACCTGTTCCTACATACTGTACTTCCTTTGATGTACAGATTTATGTGGGACTTGTACAGGAGACGGCGTGTATGCACACCATCTTATTCACTTACAAATTTGCTTTCAAGTTTTTGTTTCTTAGTGTCAGCTTTAGTCCCACCTTTTAACTTGAGATCTATCACTTCTGTGCTTAGCACTGATGAAACCAAAGCTTATTGTCAACTAATACCTGGCATGCTGTGGTGCTTCAGGCCTGGACCAGCTGCCTAGGACACCTGAAGACTTAGGTGTTAAAGACTTTAAATACGGATCCACTTTCCTTTCTGCAGGGCACTGACTAAAGAGCATGCAGCTTCAAGACCTTTAAACTGAAGGAACAGTGGAGGAAAACAAAGGGAGCATCTAACAGAAAGGGTTTTTAATGCAGCTGGCTGGAGGCACTCTGCTCTGAATAAGCATTTCTTGGAACGAAAAAGGCACAACAGCCGATCTGCACCAAGCAGCAGTGACCCTTAAATTTAATACCTTAAACAAGTTCATGAATCTGACCCGCTGAGCCCATCTAAATCCCCCAGCAATTAGAGGACCCAGTTCTCTGTTCATTGCTGATTTTGTCGCAATATCACATAAATCAAGCTGCATTGATCTGTTTTAATCTCGCTGCAGAGCGGCACTAATCTACTAGAGAGGCAATTATAGAGCTTCATCACAATATCCGAAAATGAGGTTTTCTTTAAAATTTATGCCACCTCATCCAGCCTTCACACACATGCACACACACAAAACTGACTCGCCTTTAGTTCATTTATTTTTTTAATATCATAAATATTCAAACCAAATCACTGCTTATTGGTGTGCATAATTCAGAACTTAAATAAAATACCTAGCCTAGTTCTTTCATTTTGTGCACTATTAATGGATGCCTTAATCATTACTACATCTCTCCAAATGCAAGTTCTCTGAACTTCAGAGGTGTAGCTAAGGTCATGGAGTTCTGCTGTCAATGCACAGAGGCAGTTTGCACTAAAACAAGGACAGAAGCTGCTCACCAGCTCAGTGTCCTCCTGACTGATGTCCTGTAGATAGGGAGCGACTGCGAGTTCAGCCAGAGCTTGATGAATCACCTGCGAGTGCTCAGTGACACGCTGCAATTGGCGGAGGTAGCTTGCGTATTGCAGCTTCTGAATCACCCCCGAACCTGCAGAAAAACCATCCTGCCGACTCCGAGGAGAAACACGAGAGAGTGAGGAGAGACAACACAGACCAACGCCACACTTCCTGCAAGACAACCCAGCACCATGTTTCTGTCTTGGCTTCAACTTTCCAAGCAAGAGACATGTTTTGTGTTGTGTTTTGAAACAACATTCTGTAGCTCAAGCTGTTCCTTACCTGAAAGAGACACCTCCTACCTTACAAACCACTTTTGTTAACTTTGATAGGAAAACTAAGTAATTCTAGACAGAAGAACACAATATAAGGTAAGTCTGAGTTTTTAAAATACCGACATTTATGTTTGACATAGAAGGAGACACGGCTTCAGTGCTCCAGCAAGTGTTGACTGATCCCACATGACCTGATTCAAGGGTGCCTAGAAAATGTTCGCTGTGCCCCTGCAACTCTGTATGTGGAATCTGCTGCCCAATTTCACTCTTAAAAGCATTTGCCATTAATTTACAAATGCAGGCCTTTGGTTGGGCTTTGACACAACATTTCATGGCTCTGAATTTCAGTGAATCTGATCTTCTCTTTCAAGACTGCAAAGGCTCCGTTCACATGCGAGCAAGAGTCAGAGGGACTGTATGCAGTTCTCAGATGAGCAGCCTGAGTGCACCATGGTTTGTTTTTAACAGGAAAGCCTGCAGCTTCGGTGAGGTGCTGGATAATGCAGAATGTGGGCCGCCGATGACTTTTTATGGCCTGGGGCTCTTTGAGGTTCAACGTGGAGCCTCTTCGGATCCCCGAAGTAGCTAATTCTGGGTTCTGGGAACAATTCCCCATTGCCTTGCCAGTTTCCATCTCATTTGTTTAGGCTGAGGTTGTCCTGCTATGCTACTCTGAGCCATTCATCCTCTTTATTGTTGCAGATATATATCCCCAAGCGTGCATCATTTTTCACCAGCACTGCCTGCCCTCCTGGGGGGGCGGGGGGGGGCTTGCTGTGTCTTCAGCTCAGGGGTGTTGGCTTTCTAGATCCTGAAATAGCTCCCATCCCGAGATGTGTCCTTTTTCCCCTGCAAGTATTGTACATCTCTGCCCCCCCCTCCCCACCACCCCCAGTCCTGAGGAATGTCTTGCCTCAGGCACACTCACGGGTGGTACACAAAGTTTCCCCTAACGCATCCCCCCCTTCGTGAATGGAAAATGCAAAAACGGCAAGGATAACCCGCCCTTCCCAGGCATAAAAGATATGAATGCCTGTTTGGCTAGAAAAAGTATCACCTCCCCCTCCCCTTCCTTCTTCTGCAACCAGGGAAAAGTACCGGCAGCCTAATGTGGTCTAATGTGGCCTCATTATAAAAGCCCATGCATGGCGGGGGAAGGGAGTAATATTCATGACAGTTTTGACTATAACCTGTAGCAGTTGTGACATATCCTGTTCTCACCGCTGAAGTAAGAGCTGGTGAATCCCTGCAGTGGGACGTGGTATTCAGTTAAGCCCTGACAGGCTTGTGCTTTAATGAGGCTGTAAAGGCCTTCATCTCCGTTCCTTGATAGGTGATAGACTGTGGTACCAAGATCTCCCCCTCAGCAGCTTAGAGCAATGTTCTCCGAGCTATTACATAAACATGGCTGCAAACTGCAGAGCGTCCTGTGCTCGGAGCCAGGGGAATGGTATCAGCAGCCCTGGAGGCTCTGCGGGACTGTGGTCCTGGGCGCGAGGCCCTGGGTGCGGACGTCTGAGGCACAGTTCCTTGCTGAGGGAGAGTGAAGGGCCCTATATTGCCTTTCTTCACATCAAGCACCCTGTCAGGGAGACCTACCAGCTGTGTCTTTACTCGTAACGCGAGAGTTCCTGAGGCATGGAGCTGCTGGGCTTTCCTGCTCCTTTTTTATAGAAAAAAAACTTCAGAGCATTGACGCATTTACTATAATTCATTATTATTTTTACTACTATTAGTTATGCTTTAACTTTGTCATTTAAGACCCCCAAGAGCTCAGTATTTAATGCTGACGTCCTGAGTCATTTTAACTTAGCAGCACAGATTGTGGTCTTTCTGTGGTTATCCAAAGCCCTGCCAACCGAGCCGAAATTTCCTCACATCTCTGACTGTTGTTCCACCAGTACTTTGAGATCTGTGGGAGTTAGAGGAAGGCCCAGCTCTCCGATAAGTATGTATGCTCCTTGTTTAGTTGCTTCATATTTTGACACATATTGGCATTTCCTCTCTGTCAAAACTGCTCCTATTTATATATAGCAGGACCATATGCGATTACAGCCGATCTGCTGATGTTTGTGAGCTGCGATGCTGTGTTTCCCGGGCCCAGTGCTGAGGTGTGAGCTCAGGCTCCAGACCATGTGAATGTTTCTGGGGCACTGTGCGGTTCGAGAATGTGCCGTGATGCCGGACTGGAGCTGGGTTTGACTGGCAGTACCATGCAACACATGGCCCCGTCTTTAGCATCTGGTGGATGTGTCCCTTCTCAGCAGGTACACATCTCTCGTTTTAACATTTAAACACAGGCTTATACCCACAGCTAACTTAGTGCATCTGATAAAATCTAACACTGGAAGAACCCTTTTCCCCAGGGTGTGGATGTTCCTCTCCACGTCTTCTGAAGCCCGGGGGCAGGACAGCAGCGTATTTTCTTAAAAAAGAAAAAAAATAGAATGACTCACTGTTTCTAGACCACATACTCATTCTTCTTATGTAGTGAATCTCATATATATATATAATATTGATACATCTTGCTTATGGTCAATAAATTGCTCCTTTATGCGAAATAATAGAAAACGCATTTTGTCAGAATAGTGTTACAGTAACTGTGACAGATATTCTGGTTGTTTCCTGCTGCTGTCACATCAGTCGTGACCTGTACCAGGCAGGGGAGCAGTTTCACACAACACAAAGATGAAAATACAGCTTTCTGAAGAGGCTTAAGCCTCGGTTTGTTGCATTTCTCTCACACTCAGACTCAGGTCACCAGCAAGCATGAAAGGGTTTTAATAGGTGTGGTAGGTACAGTGTGTGCTACAGTACACCTTTCAGTGTGCAAACTGTGCCGCTTGGAGCTCTTTACAAATTTGACCCACACGAATGGATAAAATGAGAGCAGAGCTCCCGTAAAAACTACAGAAAGGAAAACTTGATATTTTGTTTTGAACCTTCTCCTTCAATGCATAACACCGCAAAACATTGATCTTCTTTTTTAAACACTGCACATTCAATATGTCATCTGATGTGCAGCCTTGTTTCTGTCTACTTTTTCAGCCCTCCTAAGCTAAAACACTTCTGAAAGCACATTTGAAAGTGCAATGTGACTCACTACATTTGCCACACAGGCAGAAGGTTAATGAAAGAACAATGCATGCCATACTTGTCAATAAACGTCCTGCGCCATTGGTTCTGAGTCCCAGTGCCAGTGTCATTCCTCCAAGCATTTGCACAAAGATTATCTGAAGCTTAGCATTTCAAACTATTGTTACAGCAAATCTGAAAACCTTTTTTTGACAAGCCTATAATTACTTCCTTAAAGGTTCAGATCCTGATAGTCTTTTCATCCAAGACATTGCAAGTGCACTGCCCTCTCTGGAGGGTGTATCTGTCTCAGAGCCGCTGGGCAAGAGCCGAGCTCTTCAGCCTCTGCAATGACATCACCACAACGGCCACAGCAACCTGGCACCCTGGGGTTATCGTTTCCAGGATGAAAGTCTTTTCAGGATGTTGAACAATGAGCAGAAAAGGCACAGGCCCATTACTTAAACAGTCATAGCAACACAGGTCGATCTCTGAAAAGGTAAATTTTTTATGCAAATTAAATGGAGTTTGGATGCATTGTGACCACACCTCCTAGGTGTGGAGCCTCTTCAGTTTCAGTTGTGTTGACAACCTGGAATTAACCCCTGCTTGGTCCTTTGCAGCTCATACACTGACAGCTCCACACAAAAATATTTTAAATATTATATTAATATTTTAAATGTTGTATCTTTCTCATAGGAAAAATAAAATGAAAAGAACAGAGAACAGAGAAGTGATCAACTAAATGTGGAAGGTATTAGGGTTTTGTAAAAGAGATGATAAGAGGAGAACTGACTTTTTTTTTAAAGAGGCATCTTGCTTTCTTTAAAGTGCCTCTTCATTAAGTGCCAGGATTACTTTTTAATATAAAATAAAACCGCACACAGATGGCATATTATATGCCTGCCTGTTTCTGTTTCCAGAGCACTTTTCCCACAGTACAGTATGTGTAGCTTAAAGATGAATTCAAGATTTGGGATGTGTTAAAATGCAGCTCAGTGACAGTTTGACATTCTAATCAGTGTGGAAGCAGCTATACAAGTTATACAAGGGTAATGGTGATAATGTAATATTGTCAATTTGCTACCAAAAAAGACACCCTTTATAAACTTCTCAAGAACCTCAAGTAGATTACATCTATGAAGTTATAGCAATGCGGTTCCTTCCCACGTATTGTGTGAATTTAAATTATTTGAAGAGCATTTATTGACAGATATTTAATTAAAAATAAATATTTCATGTTAATTCATCAACAGGAATTTACATGATAAATTGGCTTTGTTTGACTTGACCATCCCAAAAGCGTGGATTTGACACTGATGGTGTGTTTGAGTGCAGTCTTCACGTGTTTTTGAAAATGTAATATCCACATAGGAGTAATTTTACCTGTAAAAGTTGGGTACTTTCTGGTCAACAGTTTGTCTAAGAAGCTTCCATTTTCACATTTCTGGAATCCAAGGGTGATCAAATACCTCTGTGATGAAGGCAGGGCCCAGTTTGTTGTTTGGGGCAGTAAATGAGCAAGGGTTGGATCTAAAGGAAGGAACAATGGTTTTTGCTGAGATATGCTCTTAAGGCACTAACAAAGGAGAGGGTGAGTTATGAGAATAATTTTTCAGTACGGGAAATTCTTGATGACCTCTAATTCAAACTGTTACATTTGCCTCATGACCTTTCTCCTGAGTCACCCTGAGATGCATGTGATACTTTGATGATGAATGGATTTTCTGAATCCCACAAAACTTTTGTGAAAATGAGCTGTATTCTCATTCCCATTTGCCTGAAATATTTTCTCTCAGTTGCTTCTCTTCACAGGAAGAAATAGCATCCACGCAGGCAAACATGCCCATCAAGGTGATGTGTCCATTCAAACATTTTGAAAAGACATTAAAAGGCACCATTACAAATTCACGCAAAACAAGGTAAAGTACTAAAATAAATTAAAGTATCATTTTAAACATCACACTACAAAGTCAGTAAACAGTCCTTAGCAAGCCAGAATTGCACTGAATGTATATATTTTCTACAAGGACTGACAAAGAAAACTGTGAGAAAATTATAGAAAATGTCCCCACTAAGACAATAACTCCAACAAACTGGCAATGTGATGTTGTCCCAATAAAGTAAATACCACTTTTATCAAATAAACTCCTGTCTTCTTTCAAATCTAAAAGTGACAAAACTATCCATTACGTCTAGTACATCAGAGAACCTTAACTTACATTGAGGCAGTGCCAGGGACTCCTAATCTAAAAGCTCTTTTTAAATCTCTTGTACAACAACAGGTGCATTGATGTATTAGCTTGATAAACCTTCCGGAATGAAACAACAAAAACATGGTAGGAAAACCAAGGTTACCTGGGTACAGAGAAACAAGCTTATAGGCTTTACAGCATTGTGGTGCCTTCAGTGGTTAAGAGATGGAGGCTCCAGCGCTGCGTGACCTCGCTGTCTTACTGCAGCTGCACGCCTGGCTCTTGCTGGTCAGGGCTGGGCGGCAGTGCGTACCTGTGAAGAGGTAGGAGGTGTATCCAGAGTGCTGCCTGCTGAAGACATCGGTGACCTCCCTGATGTCCGTGTCCGCCGGCGTCACACTGCAGGGAGTGTACATGGCGGTAAAGCCCTCTGCTGCTGTCACGGCCTCCTCCAGCATGGCCTGGTGGCGAAAGGACAGCAGGGTCACTTTCAAAGATCTCAGAGCAGCAAACACCTTCTTTGGTCTTCTTCAGCAATTGTCAAAAGGTTGTCTCCAATCAGATTGAACAACTGTAGTACAATACACACAGCACCACTGAGGCTCTCCAACCACAGAACAATTAAAAAGAAACATTACATTTCTAGGGTAGTATTAGAATATAAAAAGATGTTGCCCTCTGGATATACTATGATTATTAGAGGGCTAATGTCCTATGGTGGTATTAATCGAAAAACTTCTCATATAAATTTAAAACCAGCCTTTGAACAGGAATGTCAGAGCTGTGCATTAATATGTCCTTCATGGCCCCAACATTTCACTTCTGGGTTCGAAGGTCAAATGGGGTGGAAATGAGAATGAATGAGCTGTGGCACATACGCAATAAGATGATGGCAATCTCATTTCTGCCTCCGTCGCTGAATTTCGTTTTACTGCCCACTGAGCATTGCAATATTAAAAAATACATATATCACTCATTTTTTAATATATCGTGTCCAGCTGTATTCAGCCCTGTAGTAAATCATATTCCCATGAAGCCAAGCACTGTACTGGCATTGCGGTACAACAGTACAGAGTTGAGGCTCATTTTTTAAGGCAGAATTATTGGGGAAAAGATCTGTTATGTGCTATTTACCACAGGTTCATTAACTAAAAATACCTAACTTTGATACTTAGAAGGCAGTAACAGAAATCATAAACTGACAAAGAAAGACAAAACCCTGTTTGCAAAACTACAGACCTGCTTATTAGGTAAACATGTCTAAAGAAGGATTGGTTAGCTCTTGGAAAAAGCCACGAGTGTGCAGAGCTCTCTGACCAGAGTCTGGTAACAAGGGTTGGGATTAGTAAGACTACTCAGGAGACCCTGTACAGGCACCAGCAACAGCAGTGAGGGTGAGGAGCTCCTGTGTGCTGGAATAGAAAGAGCAGCTGGTGTGTCTGAAAGAGAGCTTACAATAGTGCAAGGGGAGGGGATTCTGTCTGACGGTGCATGTTTATCTCTCTGTCTTTTGGAATCACGTATGTGTCTGCATTTAAATTGGAAAATTAACCAAGTGCCACAGTGAGATTACATCAGACCCAAAGCTGTGCTGGCCATTATAGAGAAAGTGGCCAGGAAGGTGTGCTGCTCTTTGATGTAATCTTGCACGCCTGCTCTTCCTGCTCTGAGTGCAAGTATACACCCTAGACAATAGCACTGCACTTGAAAGTTCCTCGGGTGCACTTTTCCGAGTACATTTTTATCTTATAGGCACAGGACTGTCTGTTAAGGAAGGCTGGAATACTTTTAACTGCAAATAAAAAAGAAACAAAGTTCAATATTGTGCTGCTATTGACCTCTGTTCTCATTACTACTAGGATCCTTTGGAGGTGAAAGTGTTGTGAGCTGCAGTATGAAATTTCAAGCCCCCCTTCAGCACTGTGACGAACACTGCTGCACGCTGCCTGTGGCACACGACCCTTGCTAACGACTCCGGTGCCGACGAGAGCCGTGCATCTGGCTGTGTCAGAAAGCCGCTGTCCCGCCGAGCGTCTGAGCGAGCTGACTCGCAGAGCACGCTGGGAAACAAATGCTGGACAAACTTTTAAATCCTTTTCAAGGTTTCAGTTTGCTCTGATTTATCACTATGAATGGAAGTTGGATTTTTTACATCAATGTTATTTTTAACATTTCATTTTTAAAATTTTCTTTTTATCTTGTATGTTTCTGAACTGTTCCTTCATTCCAGATTTTCTTAAGTGCTGTTCCTACAAGACATACCACATACATCTGTATTAGGGACTGTCTGCAGGAAAGCAGGAAGTCCTCCACAGCCTGTCTTGCAGCAGTGTGAAACCCTGGGCCAGCCTGAGCTACATGTTAATAGTATACAAATGATTCCACTCAAGAGGAGGTCATTCAAGACATCTTACTCATTTCATAGTTTAATAGATAATTGAATCTAAAATTTTGTCCAGCGACTTCTCGAAAAAAACACAAGACTGTGGGCCTCAACCACACAGCTGAGAAGTCTGACACCCACAACTCTGAGAAACAGATTGAGAAATAAAACTAGAAAATAAATGACTAAACAAACTCCAGTCAAACAAACCCTGAAGCTGTCAGCAGACTTCACTTCTACAATGTGTTGGATTTCTTTTTAAAGTCAACAAAAACAATATTTTTATTCTTTCCAAATAATTACTCAGAATACAAAATTTCCAAATGTACCTAATTAGGATAATGCTGTTCAAATAAAATGCTTACATGCGTATAAATATCGGTGCATTTTGTAAAGGAAAATATTTAATGTACTTCAGCCAACTCCAAAAATAAAGGAGGAAATAATAGCAAAATGCCTGGAAAAGGTATCACACTGTGAACCCAATTTATCACAAAGTCAGAGGAGATCAATTATGCCTGACCTTGACAGAGTGCAAATTAAGTTAAAAAATTCTATAGATTTCATTATCTAACAAACTGATAAACACAATGTCAGCTTGGTTTTTGTAAGTTTGAACTGGTGGCATCCATGTCACTTTTCCGCTTCTTTTTTGAATGCTGTAAATTATTTACAATCGAATCTAACATGAAGTGTTATTTCTTTTGGACAGGAAGGTTATCTATAAAATACTCATCTTGACAGGCCATAAATCAGAACTTTTTCTCATGGCATGTTTTTAAATTTGAATTTTCTGACTTATAAAATGAATCCAGTTCTATATTCCTCTGCATTTTCATTTTATTCCCCAAGTTTGGGATCAGAGAGCAAACACTTTTGCCTTTGAATGTGTGCAACATAACAGCCACTGAAATGTTGTCCTTCACCACTAGGAGCAGGAGAAATGAATTCACTTCATCATGATCATATCAGTCAAGGCGCTGTGTTTTGGAGACTGGTCTGCAAGTGCCAGCCCACGGTGCACACGCTCGTGACAGATGAGCTCCAGCTGGAGACGGAGCCTTTCAACAAGAATAACTTAACAAAAAAGGGGGGAGGGTTCAGTTTTGCTCCTGTTTCATCACCGAAAATCTTTTGGAGATCTTCCTTCAACCTCTGGCTATTGAGCCTGAATAAAAACACAGGGGGTGCAAAGACCATCTAGTTTCATGCACAGTGACCGAGGCTCATCAACCCCATCTTTATAAACAACCATTTTAAACTTTTCGACCTCATACAGGAGGAGACCTGCTTTTCGGACTATTAAGAAAATTAATTTTGCTTTCCAACAAGTTAAAAAAAGCAGAAACAATGAATCCCAGGAAATAAAGTGTTAAACCCAGGCAGCAGCACAGAAAGAATTCCACCTAGTTCATTATAAATGGCTTACTGCTATGCAGTGGTCTGGCTGATTGATATGCTAAGAGCTACCTCAGTCGGCAGTCTTTTAAGCAATAATCCTTCATTTGAGGTCTGATTGTGAGACGGGCCCCTCCCTGCTCCAGTGGTCATTAATTCTCACCTGCCAATACAGTTTGATGAGCTTGCTTATATGCTGTTCACTGCCTCCGGACAGCCAGTACATGTAGTCAGCAATCATGGCACTCCTAATGACAAGGACAGAGTAGGCAGACAGTCTCAGACACTCTCCATCAAGATGTAACATCCCTTTTGCTGAGGGAAGGTTCAAGAAAAGGCACATATTCAATAGTAGGAAAACCACAGACTCAAAAAGTGTAACTGGTTTGTTTAGATTAGTGCATACAAAAAATATTGTGTTATGTCATCACTTGTGTTTATCTGGAAGGCAAACAATAACTAAACACAGGATTCTGCAAAAAAAGTATGCACTTTTATCTGCAAAAAAAAGTCACAGTAGTTTATTGTTTCCTATTCTACTATGATGATTGGTTACATCGTCGTCAAAGAAAAGTAAATGACCTGGCTTCCTGCCACAGGGAACATTTTTATTTAATAAACGTTTTGCTTCTGGGCTTAAAGAGATGTCGGCTTGCAACATGATAATAGCAGTGCCACCAGTGTCATGTTAAACACTTGAAGGACAAAGATACAGCAGCCTTCTGTTCTGTCAGTCATGACGGAGGGCTTGCACTAAGACAGGCTATGCCATATTTATATTAAAATACAGAAAAATGATGCCAGCAGACTATTTGTTCTCATTCTGTACATAACACTAGGCTGGGAAATTACAGTTAAACATTGCTCTGTATTTATAAAGCTCACTTTCCATCCTGTTGAGATATATCCCTTTCAGGCTTAATCTCTACCCAGCGGGCACAACCCACACCAGGTCTCATTGCTCCAGATTTGACCAGGCAGCTCAATCCATAGCACCCAGTAGCTGCTGCCAAAAAAGGTCCTTGCTGAAATCAGTTAACAGTAATCCAGGCAATTAGTCAACATTTTAACCTCCGGTTAATGAATGATCCAAAAAGACGCACCCTATCTCTGCACGAGTCTCTGCAGGTGGGGAGGAAGATTAATGTTATGGACATGGCTGGTGATGTCATCACCGTTGCCGGACTGGTTATCGATCGAATTCCTCGAGGGCATATTTGAAGAAAAGCAAAAAAGAGGAAACAATGATATAATTTAGTATTCAGCAGGTCTTGCTGTGTTTTATGGGACCCATGGACAGCTTTTTCTAAAGCGACAACTGAGAAGTGAAGTTGAGCCTGCTGGAAGTCACCCGGAATGTGGAACATGTGTTCCATCCACAGCCAGGTCTGGAATCCCAGTTCCTCGCAGTGCTTGTCAAGCTCACAGAAGGTCAGCGCAGTAGACCTTTGTTTTCAGTTAGATCAATGAAGTTATTTGAGATCCTTATCTAGTGGTGCCTGCCCACTCTTTCCATTAGCCATGGGTACAGATAGAAGCTCAGAGGGTAAACATGTTCATTATGAGTCACAGCACCCACACTGCTGCACACCTCTGTCCCTGCGCAGAGTGACGCACACCAGAAGCCACCAGAAATGAACGTCACCTGCGAAAGAAACAAAACTCTTTTGCATTTCCAAGAGGGGAGTCCTCAGTACCTGTGAAGCGCTTTGAGTGGAGTGTCCAGAAAAGCGCTATATAAGTGTAAGCAATAATTATAATTATTATTAATTATTATTATTATTATTATTATTATTACTGCACTGCCATGACCTCTTGCCTGACCCCCAAGGGAGGCTGTAATGTTAATGCAGCTTTCAGAGCCAACTTGTAGCAAACAGAGTTACAAGAACAACACTTTCCGGGTGCACTGCTCTCTTATTCTGCTCCTGTTACTTCATTTATTTCTCCAATGTGTGAAGAGGTATTGATAACATTGTCTGGCTCAAATCTGCTAACTACACTGGATTTAAGAAAGACAGATCAATTTTATTCATTTGCCCTTGCAGTACTGGGCTCTGGGATCAGTCTCTGGGATGCTACCTGCGTGGAGTTTGCATGTGCTCTCTGTATGTGCAGTTTAATTGGCTCCTGAGCAAACTGGCCCTGGTGTGAGTGTGTGAATGTGTGTGTGCCCTGTGATGGACTGGTGTCTCGTCCAGGGTGTATCCTGCCTTGTGCCCAGTGTTTGCTTCCCAGAGGCCCTGAACTATATAAAGCCATTAGAAAATGGACGGATGTTAAGGACCTTACACCATGACTATTGTTACACAACAGTTTCATTATCGAATTTCTATCATCTGAAAGCAGTGTGTTTTTTCTTGAATCTCAAAGTATGTACAATACATGCAAGTATAATTCCATTATCTTATCCCCCCATTCTTATTATATGCTGAACGATGAACACATGGTTTCTGGGAGACTTATGAAATCATTAAAGAAATTACATTTTTTTTTTTACAGAAATTTCACAACCTTATTTTAACCCTTTGCCAGTCAGCTCGGCTGGGGAGCTAAGCCATTCGGCAGAGGCTGCCAGTGTCTTGTCAGGGAAAATACACATTACTTCGTCTCTCAAGCTCTTCTCAGCGAAGTGTCAGCTGAAGAAGTCAGCAGGTTATTCTGTGCAAATGTATAAACTCTTCAGAAACAACATTGCACCATGTGTAAAACTACATGAAAAAATCAATATACTGCTATCATAGTGTGCGAGTTAAATTGGTTATATACTGATTGCAATCCATACTGAAATTAGCAAATGTTCAAAATAAAAGATGCCTAGCCTAGCTTTCACCTGCACATGCTAAACAAGTGGAAGCTGCAGCAGTTATCTTTGCTCAACAGAAAAGCCCCAAACATTGTTTTAATGCCATTTAAAATCTTGTCACGGCCCTAGTGCACTACACTTGCACAGAACTATAAAAGACCCTGCCAATAATGTAAATTGATAACTTAATCCCTTTCTCTGTGCCTTGGGTAAAAGGGTAATAATAGTCAATACTTCTGGTACATGAAAGCTCTTTCTATCGAGTGACAAGAGGGAAAGCAGATGTTGTTTGAAGCTCTCAGAAAATGGATAGAAATGTTGAAAACAATCCTGTGGCTGCCCCAGCTCTGGACAAATCTTTTCTTTTTTTGTGTGCCTTCAAAAATAAATCACTTTCATGTCAGCGGCGGCAGTCACTATGACAAAGTTAAATTCAATGTGCAGTGAGGGAGTTGAGTTAATTTTAAAGTTCTTGTTATTTCTCTGGCTCCGGCCACATGGGGGTGTAGAACAGTAAGATATATGTCAAAGGGATAAACCCACATGAGTGCTGAGCTGGAGAGCGATTTCTCAGTAGGGGACTTCATATCAAGATAATAACAGAACTGACAGCAGTAGCTCTTTGGCGACTGCGGACTGAAAAGTTTCATTAGAGGACGTGTGCACAGACATCATTTAGAATGTGACAGACAATTATGGACCCCAATAGTGAAAAAAACAACAGCTGGAGGTGTCCAGAGCTGCTTGCAGATGACACTCATTACAAACCCAGACAGCGGGCTCATAATCCAGTGCCTCTTCTCCTGGTGATGGGCTGCAGTACCAAAGCAGCACCTGTCAGGAGGAGAGTATATTCCCTCATTCAGATACTCCTCTGTGCACCATACCCTGACTCTGGCTGCTGCAGCAGGTTCATGTTTTCAGCATAAAACAGGACTGGTGCAAGACAACACCCACAGTTACTTGAGGAGTTCTGTTACTGTCGATGCCACTGGCCGTGCACCAGTCTGCTGTTGTACCCCCTTACACTGAGCAAGATCACGTGCCCATGGCCCAGAATAACACAGAACTCCCAAAAAGTCAACCACGCAGACTCGGATAGAATAACAGGGATCCAGACCAAAACATAACTAAAGTTTACATTCAGGAGCCCATGAAAAGTGGTAAAAACCTCAGGCTCTTGCATTGGCTCCAGTGTTCTGCCTGCATGCCTGTCATGTGGTAATATAGCAATAAAAATATTTGATTTTGAGAATATACATTTTATTTTGGAGTGCATCGCTTTTTCATTTTGTTTCCTCATGTCTTCTTATCCGCCATTCCAGTCTCCATCAAGGCTGTGTCACATAGCTAAGGAGGAATGGAGGCATCTCCTCATACAAGACTGCACCTTTCCTACTGTTTGCTATGTTTCACTGAGTGATAAAAATGGACTTATCTACTGGTAAGTGAAAATAAGTTCTACATATTATGTATGGGCTTTGGCACATAGCAAAAGGAAAGATCCAGCAAACATTTCAGGAGCTTCTAGGAGTTAAATGTCCACATTTTTCAGGAAATTAGCAGTATGAAGGGCAGAAAAACTGCATAGGAGCTTCTTAATTTAATGAAGAGATCTGAACTGGGAAAGCGCTCGAGACAGATGTTATAAGGGCATCTGTAATATGCTTTTCCTTTCTGTTGCAATGCAAATTTACCTTCACAACTGCCAAGTATTAACTGCTTGTCTTAAGATAAGATTACATATTTGAGGTGTTTCTGTGTTACATCACAGAGAAACATGTAGACTTGAGGTACATATTTATATCAAACAGCACCAAGACCAACATAAAGTACTTTCAACTGCAGTTCTCCAGTTCTCCTGAGCAGTGCTCCTGGAGCAGTTCAAGATGTTATATTGACAACCCTAGTTAAGGCAAATGGAATACAAATTTAATATTGGAAATTTACAAAACACAAGAGTATAAGGAAGGTTGTAAACAATCCAAGCTAAGTGGATCTGAAACTCCATCCTTCTGCTTCCTGAAGGAGCCAGGATTTTGGACCTTAACCACCTGGCAGGGAAGCAAGTTCCAAACACCCACAACTCCCTGTGTAAAGAAGTGTTTCATATTCTCCATCCTAAATGAATATGACTTTACAGCGATCAATGATCAATTTCATTTGGGATATAGCTGCCTAAGCCATTATTTTACCATAGTCTTTTGTAATTCCTTTGTATTTTTTGTTTGGCATTACACAGAAGTTTTACTTTCAAGTCAAGTAATTAATGTGGTTGGCCAAAATCTGCACAAGCACAAGATTGGAATCATATTTTGATGTGCTTTTCCATCATGATGGAAAAACTATTTTTAAAACTCCTGAAACACCTGAAGAATGCAGCTGTGCTGGTAACAAAGTGAACACCAAACCAATCATATGGAAAACATGTGGCTTTATTTTGTTTTTCTAAGCTTCAGAATAAAGTGTTATGATTGATGTTGAATTTTAACCAACATGAAGAAGTCATAGCAAATATCTACGGTTTACTGTGGATTCGTTTGTGGCACATTGTGCATTCATGAGGAATGTTGAGCTGCAGATTGAAACTAGATAATATAGATTTCAAGTGTTTTCAGAAGCAGGAATGACTAAACAGCTCACATTCAGTAGTTCCAACAGCTTTAAAGCTTTGTTAAGCCCAATGTTAAGCCCATCTTAAGCCCAATGTTTACACAGCATCCAAAAGGACAAATCAATGCTCCTTTAAAAATCGGCAATTATTAAAAATTAATTAATTTTTTTAAAACAATCTAGTTCACAGCAATAATTAAACCTGATGCTGTTTTCTAAATACACACTGGCCGAGTGTGTGTATACAGAGCTTGGGATTTTTTCCTTTGCAGCGTGGGTTTCATTTTGTGACAATCCTGTTGCCGTAGAAAACTACTCTGTAGGCATAACCAGAAAGTTTCACAAGAGTTCCGTCACATCTGATTGAAAATGTGCTGCTTTACCTTTGCTCATCCCCATTTAAGAGGTTTCATAACAGGCTTTTCCGCTTTAAAATTCTTTTTGGTTGGATGGAGAGCTGCCCAACCCATATCTTGTTCTGAACCCCAGCCAGGTCTGATGCTCAGACCAGTACCTTGTTCTGAACCCCAGCCAGGTCTGATGCTCAGACCAGT